AAACAGACTAGCCCAGAGAGTTTTTCCTTTTGACTATTATAAAAACTGTTGTTAGTAGGCAAATTCTGATACTATTTGTCCCCCCAGTAAGAGAATTTTAATTTGAGCCTACCGCTGGGAATTTGGTTTGTGGTAGAACAGCAGTAGCCTACCACGCTGCATTCATAAGATCTTTGTCGGCATAGAGGTTGCCGTCCAAAGTCACCCTGAGTGACCAGGTTGCTATACACAGAGGGGTTATCTGTTAGGGACGTATATTCATTATGAATGGCTTTGTTGTTCTTTCTTTGATGATTGAGTTTACAAGTTGACTGCATGAAAGCATAACTGGCTAAAAATGGAGTATTCTGACTGGGCTATCAAATGTAAAAAGTCAGACCTGTGGCTCTTCTGTAGCAACAATAGTACTGTATTTGGAACATACTGTTTTGATAGGCCCTGTTGCCTCTGTAATCTTTGTAAAATGACATTGTACACATATCAAAGTTATTCTTTAGAAATCCATCAATGGAATTCTTCTGAGAAACATTCTAGTAATTCCTATTAAGAGCAATATGAATCTTAATGTACTCGAAACCAATAATCCCATCATGAGAACCAGTAATCTCATCCTGAGGAAATAATTTGAAACGAAAACACACATACATGCGCATGCGCACGCACACACACACACACATACCATACTATAGGTATAGGGCTGGGACTGGGGTGAGGCAAGTGAGGTACTTAGGTGAAAAACTGCAGGCCTGAACGTGGACACCTCCTTAAGCTTTCTACCCTTGGCACTTCACTTGCCTCACCCTAGTCTAGCCACACACACACACACACACACACACACACACACCTGTATGGATGAAAAACAGTTCTATACACATAATGTAAAACTGCAAATGTCCAATAATAGCAAGAGATGAAGTGTAGCCATTAAAAATGAAGACAATTTAGATATAGAGAAAAGTGTATATGAAATAACACTAAGGTGAAAGTAGAAAACAAAATCATAAATAGGACATGATTACAAACATGAAAAAAACAACGTGTAACATAGGGATAAAGTTAGGAATAAGCCAAATGTAAGGGAGGATACTCTTTGTCAGATTATTTCATTAATAAACATTTTTTGCAATTAAAAGACAATTTCCTATTAAGTACAGGATAAAACTTAAACTTTTTTTTTTTTTTTTTTGCGGTACGCGGGCCTCTCACTGTTGTGGCCTCTCTCGTTGCGGAGCACAGGCTCCGGACGCGCAGGCCCAGCGGCCATGGCTCACGGGCCCAGCCACTCCACGGCATGTGGGATTTTCCCGGACTGGGGCACAAACCCGTGTCCCCTGCATTGGCAGGCGGACTTGCAACCACTGCGCCACCAGGGAAGCCCTAAAACATAAACTCTTTAGCTTGGCATTCAAAGTCCTGTGAAATCTAGTATAATTCTGTAAATATATGAGAAACTACCAAATTGTACACTTTAATAGGGTGCATATGATGGCGTGTGAATTATATCTGCATAAAGCTGTTATCAACAGACATACAAAGGTTACATGCTACCTGTCCACACAGGCTGCTGGAGGTGAAAGGAGCTAGTAGGCTCTATTCGCAGTCCCTCAAGGACCCAGGCTAGAGGTTCCACCACATTGTTTCACTGCTGCCCCAACCCAAGTCTTCAGGGTTTGCCTCAGGAGAGCCAAAGAGCACCAGGAAGTCACAAATGAGTAATGAATTGCTCAGGCCTGCAAGTGGCACACATCACTTCCATCTACAATCTACTGGCCAGACCTACTTGCGAGGTTCTGCCTATCTTCAGTGAGATGGGCAAGTGTCATCTTCCTGTGCGCCAGAAAGCAGAGGAGAAGAGAATACAGTAGAATAAAGTAAGCAGCAAAGTCTCTTCCACAAGGACAAATTGAGCCCGTATTATGTTTCAGATACTGCTTTAGACACTTTACATACATTACATGAAGGTGCTGTTGCTGATAGTAATAATATAATAGCTAATTTCTATTGAGTTTACTATGTGCCTGGCACTATTCTACAAGCATCGTGTGCATTAAATCATTTAATCTTCATAACCACTCTTTGCAGTGAGTACTATTATTCATCCATTTTACACATGAGGAAACTGAGGCACAGAGAAGGGAAATAAATTGCTAAAGTCTCATAGCAAGTAAGTGGCATGGTCAAGATTTAAACCCAAGAACTTTGACTATATGGCACCTGAACTCTTATCCACTACACCGGTGGCTTTCAAGTTATTTTACCACGACTCACAGTAGGAAATACGTTTTTTTCAACTGAAAAAAAAATGCACAACCTAAAAGTTGAGAATTATGTTTTATTCAGCAGACTTGCTGAGGGTGACAGCCTCTCAGAGAGCTCTGAGGACTGCTCCAAAGAGGTGAGGGAGGAGCCAGGATATGTAGGAGTTTTTGCAACAAAGACCTGGTAGTTGGAACATCAAAAGATTATGGTTAATTAAAGAAAACCGGATATCTCAAGTTAAGGAATTTAGCAATTTTCTATGTATGGGAAGATGCAAGAGTCTGGGCTCATTGAAGTTATTCCTTTGATATGCACCTTAGCTATCTAGGGACAGTATCCTGTTTTTTTTCCATCCTGAATCCCCTCAGGGTGCACCGTTGGGGGTGGCTGCCAGCGGCTGATGGCTTGATGGCCACAAATTCTTTTTTTACCGATATGGCAGGTGACATTCTTCGTTCACATATGTGACACAGTGCACATATGTATATGTATCACAGACACCAAAGACCCACAAAACAATTTTCATCCTTATTATCTGTGGCATACTCTGATATTGCATATTCTGTTTTGTTTTATTTTTCTAGTATCGATTGCAACCATGATTCACTCCTGATTCCATGATAAATGATTTCGTGGTCCACTACTGAGTCATGGTCTCCAGTTTGGAACTCTGCCCTCCATCCATACCGTGGCCTCACCACTACTCCTCATTTCAGGTAGCAGCAAAACTGTGATAACCACACACCAGGCACCTGACAACAGCAGCCCCAGGAGAAATCCACAGGGTGAGCATTCCTGTCATGCCAACAAAGGCGTCTTTCTCCCCGCCTCTGCCCACTCCATCCTTCGGTACCCTTGGCTGAGCAGTCATCAGTTTGGAATGAGAACGCCTGAGATTGGTCCTCTGGAAGTGGGAAGCAGGGAGAGACGAGAAAGAGCGTGGAGGTCACAGGAAAAGGACAGAGGCTTCAGCTCCTGTCATGGAGTGGGCTGGACATAAGAAGCTCAGGGAACTGGTCTGTCGGGGAGCTGTGTCAATATTTATTTTTGTTTGCAAGATGAGGTTTAGATGGCAAACATCGTTGGGAGAACTGTCAATATTAACCTTCCTCATAGACTCATAGATACAGCAGAAGAGCAAAAAAAAAGAGAGAGAGAAGCAAACGTTGTGTCACCTTTAGCACAACTGTTCAATAAATTCCTGTGAATAATAATATCCATGGGTGCCTTCCATGTATCAGGCACTTCAAATTCACTGTCTGATTTGACCCTTACAACCTCCTGGTCAAGACAACTGACTATTCCTTTCCCATTTGGGGCATTGAAGAAACTGAGGTTTGGTAATATTAATGGGCCCAATACCAACAAGTTAGTTAAGTGGCCTTCTTTTAAAATTTTGATATTTTGTTCATCATGGATTTTTTGGCATTAATTTCAATTTTTAAAATATTGCATTAAAATATAACCTATCTCGATTCCTGAGATTTTTGGCACCCTCCTCCCCTTAAATTCCGCATAGAGGCAAAGGCCTCCCTCACCTCACATTGCCTAAGAGCATCAAAATAAAAAGGAACCAACCCCCAGGGGTGGAGTTATTCGCATAGAGCATTCATTATCCACACCACGAGCACTGGTGCAGGCCACACTCTTACAGCGCATGCGCATGCGTGAGAGCACGTGTGCGCATCTGTGGGCTTCAGCACAATTTCCCGCCCCTGCAGCAGTGACTCCACCCTTTTTCTCCCAGTCAAAAAAGCCTAAGAGAAAGCAGATGACTGAGGGAGGCATTGTATTAAATGCCTAAGGCATTAATGAATTCTTTATCCCGAGGTGGGGTGGCCCTGTGGCTGAGAACCTCTGCGGCCTGCGGCTCCTGCTTTCCGAGGGAGGGGACTTAGTACACTAGTGGCAAGAGGAGAGACTTACCCATCCGTCACTGCGAGGGGAATGGGCCGCGTAGCGAGCGTTGCCAAATCTGGCTCCCTGTGCACCAATGCCGAATAGCAATACGGAGACAGAGAATTGGAAGATAAGAAATAGAGAGGCACTTTATTTTCTTTGCCAGGCCAAGGGAAGACACAGTACGCTAATGCCTCAAGAACTGTGCCTCCCTCCTTGGGGAATCGGAGAAGATTTTATGCGTGGGGCTCGCAGTCTGCAGTCTGGGGGTATGTGATAAGGATCAAAGTAGTGAAGGTCTTGCGTTTCTTTTCTTCTGCAAATTCATGGCCAAAGCTGGCATCAGGTGGCTCAGCAACCGGGTCTGGTGTCCCTGAAGTTACTGGCCCGTGACCTTCTTTCTGAAATGAAGAGTGCTGCAAGGGAGTGTAGGGGGAGAAGAAATGTCAGGTGCAAATGGTAATTCGTATGGAGTCAGAGAGTAGTCAGCTTCGTGAAGGACAAGTCTAGCTACAAGTGTTTGTTAGTAGTAACAGCTAAAGAATAACCAAGATTGCTTAACTCTTTCAGGCCTGTTGATGTTGTTTCCCCAGACTGTTCACTGTTTCCTTATTTTCCTTGTTGATCAGAAAAGTCTCATTTCTATTTTTGCTGCAACAGTAGTGCAGATAAATAAGTCTCCTGCGCTCCAATTTAGGAATAGGTGACTGGTGAGATTGAGGGGTCTCCTCATTTGTCTGGGGTCCTGGTTTTGGAGGGGTGGAGTGGGGTGGGTGCAGGTCAGTGAACCTACAGAATTGCTAACCCAGGTTCTGGTATTTGTAGGCAGCTTGGACTTGAGCATGGACTTGGATGACATGATTGACAACTTCCTGGCTGCCAGCCCCCGTTTCATCCTCAGTGGCCAGCACCATACCCGTCCTGAGAAAATCTACTATAAGAAAAGATCTCTGTGCGTAGGTAAAGCACATGTAGTATTAGCAAGTTTGGTACCTTTATGGAAGAAGTGTATTCAGTCAACAAACTCATTCACTTATCCAATAAATATTTACTGAATGTTTAATGCCAACAGTTACTGTTTTAGGTCCTGGGATTACAGAGATAAACAGGACAGTCTCTGATCACATGCAGCTTCCTTTCTAGCCAGGGAGAGATAAATAGTAAACATACCTAAAAACAAGCTAATGTAATATCTGGCCAGATAACGTTAAGCCACATGATGAAGACAAAGGAGGTGATCAGGATAGAGATGAGGGCAGGGTTGGCAGCGTTGGAAGGAGGATGGAGAGGGAGGTGATGCATGTGCATACCTAGAGAGACACGTTCCAGCAGGTGAGAAGAGGCCTCTGTGGACCTTGAGGGTGGTTGAGCTGTTTTGTGTGTACATGGGGTGGGGGGAGGGGGCGTGGTGGAGAAGCAAGGAAGGATGGTGACTCTTCTTGCTTGCCTGTCCTCTGGCACAAGACGCCCCAAATGCCTAAGCAACAATCCGAGCTTATCATTTAATGGCACTCTTGCTGTTTCCCAAGAAAAGCATCTTCATTATGATAGTTTCAAGATGCAATAATTTGTGCTTTCCTTTCCTTGGATGGAATGTCCCAGAATGCCCCAACCACTGGACCCCTAAAAACTTTACTGGTGTGGCATGCATCCTGAGTCTTGATGGGGTTTACTCCCCGACCTCTGGAGTACATGTTTCTTTCCAGGGTCTCCAGTGTGCTAGCCATTTCTTGTTCAGACAGTCCCATTAGCATGCTGTCATTGGTATAGTGGATCAAGGTGGGATGTCCAGAGGTCCAGATACCTTTGAACTACAACAGAAAGAAAGACAGTTAACTGAGCCCTGGGGAAAATCTGTAAATGCATACTGTTGTCTGTTCTGTCTGAATACAAAATGTCTTTGATCCTCCTATTGGTGGGAACAGAAAAAATCCATTTGCCAGCTAAGCATAAATGCGAAGAACAATTATTGCAATAGACCATGGAATCTAAGCTGGATAAAGAGGGAATCAAGGACGAGGCGATGCTGACTGTCTAGGGAAGGTGGAGGTGATGGATAGTGAAGTGAGATAAGATTAGTGGATCAGGGGTCTTAATGGAGCCAAGGAATTGATGAAGTGTGAGTGTTAGAGGCAGGGGAAAGAGGTATTGGTCAGGATGCGATGCTGAAATTTGAGATTTAATGGTAGGAGATGTATTGGTAGTAACAGTAAAGAGAGGAAAAGTTCATAACAATTGAAGGGGGTCAACTAAATGAGATACCAGAGGCACCAAGAATTATACGGATGTCGGAAGTCTTGGAGAATGGTTACAGAAGGGGTGGTGAAAAGTGGAAGAGTGACCCTGGGGTCAGTAGAAGGGACAGTGGGGCTTACAGTTTGATGCCATGTACTTCAAAGTATCTGAAATGTTGAGAGAGGAAATAAACGAAAAGCTGCGATATCCCAGGAGGATATTCACCTCACTTTTAGGCTCAGTGGAATGAAGACTGGTAGAGGAAAAACAGCCCCCCTCTTAAGAGAGCTGCAGGGGAAGCATCGTCCTCCAGGGGGCGCTGGTTTTCACTTACAGCAAGTTCACGAACCCAACATTCAGAGAAGAGCTGGAGGATAAAGTACAAGGGCTTCTCGCAATGAGGCTTGTTGGCAGTGGTCTGTGGATAGTGTTTAATAACCAGGGCTGGGGGGGGCGGGGAGTGGGGAAGGTCTGATTTGCAGTGGTTGCCAGTTTCTGTGGAGTAAATCCTCCCCACATCCCTCAGTCCAACCTATTTCAAACTGCCCAACCTCGAGGGCCAAGATCAGGGTGGGTCAAGGGAGGCACTCACTCACAATTTGGTGCAGAGACAAAAAGCTCAGTAATCACGATGAATAAGATTTTAAGACGATAGTTTTTAAGGAAATAAATTTATTAAACAAACGACTGTGATGATTTCATATAGGGATAACAACGTTGAAAGAATAACGGGGTGGGGAGTGCCTCGGGGCGGGGGAGGGACTCCTTGGGTGTGAGGAGGCCCCACATTGCATTATAAATTTCGAATACTCTGCGAAAATCCTGAAAGAAGCCTTGTCTGCTGCTGCAGGCATCATCAGTTTGCTCAGAATCAGGGCTTTGAGTCACCAGTAGAATCACAAGACTTTGTCGAGAAATGGGAGCACGCTCCCGAGAAACTCACGGACTTTTGTTAAGAGCAAAGGAAAGCCCATTGTCAAAACAATTCGCCAAGCTTGAACATTTATGAGAGTGAATGAGTCATAAATCACTGTACATTTTTTAATATTATTTCTGAGAAAGAAATACATTTTCATTGCAATAAAAACCCACTACATGCACCATTAGGAGTGTGTGTTTTTATGTGCATTCTTCCAGGGAGGACTTCCAAGCTTTCTTTTAGATTCTCAGGTGGGTTTCTGACCCCCCAAAAGTTAAGATTATCAGAGGGCAGCCTCCATAAAATGTAAATGACAAATATATACACGATAAGCCCATCGACTGCAGCATGTCTACACACACATGCAACTTGTTTCATATATGTATATATGAAACTTCTTGGGGGAAAATGTTTTCTGAAACTATGTGATTCGTTCTGATTATGAATGCAGAAAAATCCCCAGCAAGTTTTATAGGAAGTAAAATTATAGTAGAGAAAAGGCTCTAATTCCATGCTAACCAAGCAAAGGGAATTGAGTTTTCTAAGAGAACATTTCTCGGTAAACCTAACAACTAAGTAAAGGGTTATGTGTATACCATCCCTTCTTTGCCTCTTCTTCCCTTCTGCTGCCTGGATTGTGGATGTAATGCTGGAGCTCAAGCAGCCAGATTGAATCATGAGACAGCATGGATAAAGCCACAGGACAGAAGGAGCCTAGATTCTTTTAATGGTGCCGCTGCCTTATCAGACCTGGAGTGCCTTCCTTCAATCTTCTTTTACATGATGGAAAAATATAAACTTCTGTCTTATTTATGCTACTGCTTGCCACAAACTCTGCACAGATGTTCCCAATTATGCATTGTAATCACCCCAAGAGGTAAGTATTGTTATACCAGTTTTATAGATGAGGAAGCCAAGACCTACAGAGGTTGAGTAGGTGGCATGTTGAGTCAGGCAGTCTGGCTCCAGAACCAGTGTTGTTACTCCATGCCAGGCATTATTCCAAGCCTGTTAATTAAGTAATCCCTACAGGAAACTTACAAGACAGTTACTATCATTCCCCCAATTTGTGAAAGAAGAAATTGAGGCATGGGAAGGTTAAAAGGTGCCACAGATCATAGCGAGTAAGATGGAGCCAGGGTCTAAGGCAGGTATCTGACTCTGGGATTCATTGCTAACACTCTGCAATACAGCCTTTCTCAGAGGGCTGCTTTTGTCCAGTGAACAGGCATCAGTCATCTGGGTAAACTCTGGGACCATGTGCCCAGAGTTGGCCTTGATTTAACTCTGGCATTGAAGAGGGATCAGCTTTGTAGCATTGCCAATGCCCAAACTATATATAGACATTAATTTTAAAAAGGCAGAAACAAAAGCAAATATTTGCAAAAAATTCTCTTCAGTAGTCATTTAAAAAATCTCAAAGAGGGCTTCCCTGGTGGCGCAGTGGTTAAGAATCCGCCTGCCAGTGCAGGGGACACGGGTTCCAGCCCTGCTCCAGGAAGATCCCACATGCCGCGGAGCAGCTAAGCCTGCGCACCACAACTACTGAGCCTGCGCTCTAGAGCCCACGAGCCACAACTACTGAGCCCGAGTGCCACAACTACTGAAGCCCACGCGCCTAGAACCCGTGCTCCGCGACAAGAGAAGCAACCCAGTGAGAAGCCTGCGCACCTCAACAAAGAGTAGCCCCCGCTCGCCGCAACTAGAGAAAAGCCTGCGCGCAGCAACAGAGACCCAATGCAGCCAAATAAATAAATAAATTTATAAAAAAAATAAAAAATCTCAAAGAGAGCTACCCTTGTAGCAAAGCTTAGAAAGATATTTACCCAAATCATAATCTGATTTAATGCCCCCATATACGAAAGTTGTATTTGTCTATTTTAAGAGTATCAGAACTTGTTTGAGAAGCGAACACTTATCTGATGTTCAGAAAAATAGCATATTGTATGTTCCTAGCCTGGAAATCCCTGGGCAAACAAAAGTCAAAGTAACTGTCAACATGTATTAGTCACAGTCTATTGGAGTTTGAGGGTGACTGCTCTTCATTTCCTGAGCTGAGAATAAATTGAGCCATAGACACAAGGATACAGACATCAAATATCAGCTTTGTTTCTGACAAGCCTGAGTTGGAGAATAGGGTTTGAACTTTGCAGCCAGGATCCATCATGTGCCCCATGCACCCGGATTCAATGTGTCCACCAGGGCCGTGCAAAGCTGGACCACTGTGTCTCCCTTTCAGAGGTTAGTCATTTACCTGGTGGAAAATGCATGCAACCCAAAGACAGGCTTGCTTTCTCTGACACATACACACACACACACACACACACAGAGAGAGAGAGAGAAGATCTGGAAAATGCTGTCCCAAGTATGCACAATTCAAATTCAGGAAAAGTCCTAGATTCACCGAATAAGTCACTGTCACTCCACCACACTTAGGGAAGAGTAAGTGAAGGGGCAGGTGAAAGGGAATGAATGTTGTCCTCTAAAGAGCTGCCGGAGAGCAGACTGTCCTACTTTATGGGGGCGATGTGGAATCTAGAGACATACAACCAAGAGGTCCTGCTAAGATGACTCGAGTGAAAGGCAATGCGCCAAGAGTTTTATATGACGAGGTGACAGGTAGTCTGACTCCAGAGGCCCCATACAGAAGCCCCACACTGCACGGGCATCTCCGGTGTGTGAAGAGCGGTCACCAAGGGCCATCCTGGATCAGGGGACCCATCTCATCAAAGGAGTGTCACATGCGAGTCACTGTTCAATCTCAAGCCTGCATCATTCTCTCCATCCTTAAAGTGGTTCTAA